CCTGTAATTCTCTACTATCTATATGGAAACAAGAAACCATTTTATTTCAAAGAATATATTTTTGACATTTTTTTTTCTGTGAAGAGCTTACGCCTGCCTATGCTTTTATTAAAATTCTTAGTATAAAATTGGTCGCTTTAGTGGCTTCCTGGCGGCATATAATTAATTTTTTAGGGAAATGTCTGTTTAATTCTTTTTAGTGGATAAATTGTCTTTACAAAAATACCAAATAAGTTCACATTGCAGATAAAAATTTTTCGGTCTGTGCCCACTTAGGCGGCACTGTGCGCCGCGTTGATTTGGGGATAGCGCACGCTGACACTAGTTGACAATGGAAAACGCAACGCTCAGCGCTCAAATTTAGGGACGGCAGTAAGCAAAATGTTGACCGTGGGCGGCATAAAATTCAGTGCGTTAAATATAAAGAATTGTTTCATTTAAAATGTGTTCATATATCGGAAGCCGATGTTAACTTTTTGCATAAAACCGATCGTACATTTTATTGCTCATCTTCTACTAAATTTCGGCGAGACTCACTTCGCTGCCCGCCTCCATCCCACATCGCGACCAAGCCATTGTCGGCTGTTGTTGTCTCTCCTGCTGTCGATGCTCATCTGAATGTTCCAGTAAAACAAAAACCGCTGCCTGGCGAGCCAGCTGGAGCTCAGAAAAAGCAAATCAAAAAGGGCATTCGAATAGCAATGGGTTGAGTGTGGTAAGTGTGAGAGATCTCTTTGCTTCAATCTTTGTTTGATGAGAAACATATCTTACTTGAAAAGGCTGATAGTGTTCAAGCTGAGCTTCACAAAATGCAAGATAAGCCAAATAACGGCGTGCCTGCTGAAAACATTGCTGTTGCAGACTTGCCTATTGTGCATAACGGTTGTCCTCTCACTCCGTCTTCTTCTTCGTCTGCTGCTTCCACTTCAGTTGACGCCGTTTACGATGCTGCCAACGCTACTCCTACTCTGTCACGCCCGGACTTTCCCATGCTGCTGCTGATAAACAAAACCCTAGCGATTCGTCTACCTAATTTTCTACGGAATGCTCCCTTATTGCCGCTGTCGGTGTTGGTGCTAATGCAATTGTTGGGGCTAATGCAACTTTGTCTGCTCTAACTTCTTCGTCTTTCAACTCTTACGCCTCCATGTTAAACTCTGAACAAGAGTCTGAATCTGTCGCAGGTGAAAATTTATCTTCTCAGTTAGTAGGCGAGCTACTTGACGGAATATTGTTGGTACCTTATCACACTATATTACACTTATCATCGTTTGAGTCATCAGTCACTGCTGATAGCATATTTGCTTCGGGGCTGAGAACGAAATCGTGTGCTGTTAAACGCTTTAGTTCGCAGTTGTACCATGATGTTTTCGTAATTGTTCGAACGTGGTTAAACAATGATGTTTTGGCTCAGAATTTTTTAACTCAAATCTGTTCGTTGTCTTTCGTAAGGATCAAACACCCATCAAAACGGGTCGCTCAAGAGAGGGTGATGTATTGATCGCGGTGCAACCAGTGTTGCCACTATTGGTAGGTTGGTAGACAAACTAAGATTTTGGTCGGATAGTTGAATTAAATTTTTAAATTCTTAATTATAAAAATATATATTTCAAACATAATTTTGCATATAGATATTTGCTAATTGTACCTTTTGAACATTTGCCAATCCTGCCTGCCTTTAAAAATAAGAAACCTAATTGGTTTGGCCATTGAAGGTGCCAATGTTATGGCTGGAGACTTGGGCGGGCTAAAAACATTATTGAGTGCAGAAACCGATTGATTTTATATAAAGTGCACATTTCACTCACTTCACTTTTACTAAAGCTGCGCTTGAAAAAAATTGTCGAAAAGCATTTTTTCTTTTCCCAAAGTCCAAAGGGGATACATGAACTAAAGGAATTTTAGGACTACTGTTCGGTAAAACCCCACAAAATCTTGGGCATATCTCAAACACGATGGCTTACGCAAGGTAGCGTTGTGTTAAGAATAGTTGAGCAATGGGATAGTTTCAAACTTTATTTTACTTCCTGCTTTTATAAAGTAAACGGTATGCAATGTGCAGACCTGGCAGAAGGAATGTGTTGCAAAACCAAAGGCTACTTTTTATTTCTATAGTATATTTTGCCCACAATTAACAATCTTAACGAAGAGTTCCAAGCTGAAAGCTCTCGATTGCCATATTTACAAGCAACAACCAATGCACATTATCTCTTAATTTTGAGTGACTTTATTAAAAAAGATGCGATCAGTAACAATATTAATATTTATTTTAAAAATGAAAATAATCATATTAAAATATCTGACATTTTTGTTGGAGCAAAACTGAGATGTTTATGAAAAGTAATGCCAATTGTTCTGATATTCTTGAAGTTAAAACCAATATATTAAAAGTTTTTCATAGAGTTTTTGGACCAAATAAATTTAAGATTCAATTTAAAGCGTGAAGATATAAAATTTTTACAAATAAAAACACCAGCTAAGGTAGTTTCTAAAGAAGATTTACCAACATTAGCTCGTTTGTTAAAGATTCCCCATCGCATAGATTGCGATTCTGATATAACAACCACGCAGTGGAATTTACTGAGGCTAAATGAGCTTGATATTTCCAGCGATCTGGATATTGATATGTTATGGAAACAAGTTTATTCTATTCAAAATGGAATAAATGAAAATAGCTTCATGCATTTCGCCAATTTTGTTTTTAATAAAATTTAATTACCACATAGCTCTGCGGCTGCAGAACGCAAATTTTCAACGCTTTCTTTGATAAAAACTAAACAAAAAAATAAAAAACTTTTTTCTAAAGAGTGTAAATAACAAGTGCAATATTTGGACGAAAAATTGCAGAATTTTCTTTAATTTTGCATAGGATATGGAACTCTGATTTTTGGGTTTTTGTTGTAGAATTAACCATATTTTTATAAAAAATTAGCGAAAAATAAAATATGTAAACAATATTTGCCGGTATTGTAAAAAATTCTCTGTACCTAAACTTCATTGACTGACTGTATGTATGTAAATGTTTTGTATTCGAAACATTTAATCTTAAATAAATGAATTGTATGCTTTGAGAAGGATTTTTTGTAACTGAAATTTATTTGGTAGGTTGTAAACCATTTTGGTCGGATTTTGGAACAAAATTGGTAGGGGGGGGAATTGTTAGTGGCAACGCTGGGTGTAACGCAAGTTATGCGCATCGTTAATTACATTGGATAGCGAAGATACCCTACTCCATCAGCTTTGTGTTACTGTAAGGCTGTACTCTTATTAATAGATTATTGATAGTTGCCTCATATATTCCTCCAAATAGTGTTGATAGTCTCTATAGAGCTCATGCGAATAATATTAGGGGTATTCTCTGAGTCTTGCAAAGCCCTTGCATGGTGCACAGATTGCACGGATTGCACGGTTAAAACCGGTTTTCGTATGGGACAGCTTTGCAAACCGTGCAATCCGTGCACCGTGCAAGGGCTTTGCAAGACTCAGAGAATACCCCTATTGTATCATTAGCTACTGACAAATTAGGTGATAATACGACAACCAAATTTGTATTTTAGGGGATTTTAATCTTTGCAACCTTAACCCTGTAGTGCCCAAGACTTTACTTTTCTTACTTCTTACATACTTACTGTTTACTTTTCAAATTTCGTTACGCTGCTTTTTCCATTTTGACTAATTCGGGGAAGCCCAAAAATTCATCTTATTGCGTTTGCAGCACATGCTTACCCTTGGATCAGCAATCAGTCATTTGAAGTTGGAAATTTGTGAAATTCAGTCGAATTAATTATTTTGCAAAAAGTTTATATTCCAAAAAAACACATCAAAAGTGGTCGCAAATAAAAATTGTTATAGTGCCAGACGTCTAGGTTTTCCAGGATTCGTCCTGATGTAAACAAATTGTCCTGGTGTCCTGGTCTAAACTTAAATTGTCCCGGTTTTTTAATGAAGTTCGGTGCAGACACCTATCTAATTTTGGCAGATTTTTGCTTTGAAAAGCATTAGTAGTAGAAAATCGATAATGAACAATTTTCTCTAGCATGTTGGCAAATGCCAAAAAAGTCCAAGTTCCTGAACCGGTACACGGCGGAGGGGTCACACATACTACGCAGTAGATAATTTCAGGAGTTAAAATCTCCCCAAAAGGCATTCCTTTTTTGTACGGAATGGCAATTCAAGAGCTTCTGCTTTCGCTACTCAAAGAAGAGCTTTCAGAAGGGCTTTTGTAGGACGTTCTTTAAAGCTGTTTTTAGTTCATAAAAATCATACTTTTTTAGGGAATTTAAATATTTTAGGTTCAGATCAAATATGTTTTATTGCGGCTTACACTGAGAAAAAGGACTAGTTTCGACAACTAAAAATATTCAGTTCCCGAATTTTGACAATATTTGGGAACTGTTACAAAAGATTGGGAACTATTACCATGGGTTAGTAATTATAACTAAATGTATTAAACCTTCTAATATTCATCTAGGTTGTATATATTTGGTTTTACAGGTTACCTTTGATTTGACTCAGGAACACAATGGCTGGAACGCGTCCTCTTGGATTCACTCTCGGAAAACAAGTAAGTGACCGGTTGAAATTTCTTCTTACTGTTGCCTGTCGAACTGTATATTTACCGAAGGGACATTTTAGCATAAGTAACATAGTGGTAAACAGTTCGACAGTTGACATAATAATGAAGTTATGTTAAGCATTAGGGTGGGTCGAAAATGCTGCGACAAATTTAGGCCGTTGGCCTAAACATGCCGGCCCCGTTTGCGAAGCGAAAAATCTGAATTCCACGTGTTCCGGCCACTATCTTCCAATTAACTCCTTAATTTTAAAAAATTATCTAATAATGTAAATGTTCTTCGTTGCCGTTGTCCATGTACCTAAACTCTGTAAGGTAGAAGAAAGTATTATTTAAAGACGTGGGTTTCAAAAATTCAACTGCACATTTATTCAATAAAATAAGTAAAACAATTCAGTGTGTATTTAATTCATTTTTGGTAAAAGTATGCGAAGAAAAAAAAGTTCAACAAGCGCACGACAGGACCCATCCAAAGATGGTGTTCTGTGCTAATAGCGGGCCGANCATGTACCTAAACTCTGTAAGGTAGAAGAAAGTATTATTTAAAGACGTGGGTTTCAAAAATTCAACTGCACATTTATTCAATAAAATAAGTAAAACAATTCAGTGTGTATTTAATTCATTTTTGGTAAAAGTATGCGAAGAAAAAAAAAAGTTCAACAAGCGCCGGACAGGACCCATCCAAAGATGGTGTTCTGTGCTAATAGCGGGCCGAGAGTACCCGCAGGAATTGCGCCGAGTAGGATTTTGGGGAAGACTTCGGCGCCTAATACTAAGCGGACTGGAGCTGTGATGTGGAAGCGCGGGTCCGCGAGCTTCAGGTTCGAATAAGCGGCGGCTACGGTAGCGTCCAAACTAGTATTTGGTGTCCGCTTCCGATAATTTTTGATGGAAATTGCGTGCGTCATAACGGTGGCTGACTGTCCATGCTTTCCTCTCAACTTAATGAAGTAGCCCCTTTGGGAATTTATTGCAGTTATCCCAAGATTTAGTTCCCTCGCCAAATCTTCGGCGATTATGGACCTTGAAGCGCACGCATCAATTACGGCTAGAACCAAATGTAGGAGGCCCGCTGCTTCTATCTTGATCACAGCTGTCGGCGCGATCGATGTGAGGGCTTGAATCGGATGTACCGAGGCTCGGAGGTCCTGGACCATACCTGACCGGAAACCGGTTCTAGGCGGAAGGTGGAACGCTTGTGATTCCACTCTTCCATGCTGTCGCCGATGACGCGGTCGTTTGTTCAGTCGTCGAGTTTGAAGACTATGCCATTCGTTTCGCGGTTGGAAAGTTCTCATTTCCATTCCGCTTAGCTCTCTTTGCTCATATCTCAAGAGCTGCCCGTAGCGCTGGGGTTCCAGCTCCACTTCACTAGCCGAGTCCAGATGGAGTGCGTTTGACTCCATTCCGGTTGATTCTTTTGGGCGGAAAGCGCTAGTTTCCGCTCCAGTTTCTGGCATATCCCCCTCCTCTAGATCTGGGCGGAAAGCATTAGTTTCCGCTCCAGCGACTGGCATTTCTTCCTCCTCCAGGTCTGGGCGGAAAGCATTCGATTCCGCTCCGACCTCAGACGCATCTAGTGAAAGCGCATCATCACTGTCATTGTTGATTATTGGCCTCCTTGATCGTCGCTGACGTCTTGATCCATCGCTCACGTTCTCAATATGGAGCATGGTGTGGTGTTCTTCGTTACAGCGTCGACATCTCCCTGGGTTAGTGCAGTGTGCTGCACGATGTATCCCCGATAAACAATTCGTGCAATAGCGATGGATCAGAACGTCACGCAGGCGTTCTTCTGGTCTTTTGGCACGAAATATTGGGCATACTCTTAAGGGATGCTTGTTGCTGCATAATCTGCACGTCAGCGGGTAATTATTTGCCTCAGCTTGTTTGCGTACATTAGTGAAGCGAGTCATCTTCTGAAATAATCTTGTATGTAGCGCACCGACAAAAATGATCGATTTTGGAATGGCGCGCAATATTGAAACGAGATGGAGCATATAAGGTTTTTTCCGTAATTTCGCTAACTGACTAAAAGTGCAGTGTTATGACCCCTTAATGATTGACAGGTGGTTTGACCGTGCATACATGCCTTTATGGTTGATGGGTTGGTACAACAGGGTTGCAAGAGGTATGTGGGTTTATTACCTGACCTGAAGATTGCACGAAAAGTGTGGTGGAAACAAATTATTATGTAGCAATTATCATTTTTTTTTCGTCAGTCTCTATGCTCGCATTAAATTGCATCAATGAAAAACTTATGCAATTGAAAAATAGATAGTAATAAATAATTATGTGTTATTTATTACTACCCACCCCCTCTATATGAAAAAAAGCACACATAATTTCATTTACTGCAATCACATCAATGCCAACTAATGCAATGCAAGCTAATTTGCGCAAAATTTTACGCAGACTGGGTACAGAAACTTGCAAGTGCAGCCCGAGTGTAAATACTCTCAAGGTAACTCTGTAAAGTATCGAACTTATTTCTCATGTTATCGATAGTAGAACCTACTTCCGTGAATGGCCGCCTGTCATTCACAAACAAGGTTATATATATTTGTGTTTACTACAAGTGCGGTTGTGCGGTGCCGGTGAAGTATTTGTGTTTGTGAATCGGAAAAATCGGGTGGGCTTTCCAAAACGGAACCAATCGAAATTTCAGCGAAAGTATAAGGAATTTCGTCATGAAACTTGGTGAGGATGTTGGGGGAGGCCTCCTCAACATGAATTGTTCACTCTCACAATATAATTCCTAATAGTATTTTAGCAATTTGTTGTTAAATAATGTCCACTATCACCCCCTAATTTTTTTAAAATATGCCACTTATCACTTATATTTTGTGTTACATATTAAATTTTCAATGCTCACATGCGTATTTTATGCTTTTATTATATATAATTCACCAATTAATTAAGTAAAACGCGTTTATAAATTTGTGTTCACGTTTTACCACTTTTCACAAACAAACAGAAATAACAA